CTAAATAAGTGTCATTACAAACATTTATATATAGCTTTTATTTTAAGTTTTTAAAATCTTTGTTTTAAGTCAGTAGTAAATAAAACGAAACTTGCGTTTACATTTTGTTTAATGATTGACGTTTCGACCAATTTTAATTCGGTCTTCTTCAGAATCTATAATATACAATACAATTTTATCACTAACAATGTGTTTAATATATAATTTTTTCTTACTACAAACGTAGAAAATTAATTATACGTATATTATAGATTCTGAAGAAGACCGAATTAAAATTGGTCGAAACGTCAATCATTGAACAAAATGTAAACACAAGTTTCGTTTTATTCACTACTGACTTAAAACCAAGATTTTAAAAACTTAAAATATAATAAAAAAAGTCAAAGAAAATTGAAAAAAGAAAAAATATAAATAGTTTTTATAGTACCGTATTATCGAAAAGGAACGGCATCAGCGATGGCCATGAAATGAAGGTCGGTACCATTTTATATGTAAATTTATCTAGGAAATGTCATCAATCGTCATTTCCCATCCAACTGGATGCCGTTTTTTTCTATCATACGGTAGATATATGTACAAATATTTTATTCAAACGTAAATATTATTTTCTCTATTTGTACCTTGTACGGAGCTATCAACATAGTAACATAGGATGACTATTTATCAGCTGTTATTACTAACGTCAAAACAAACCAAAAATTAAATAATATGATAAGTTTTTTGACATATTTAAATTCGATTTCCATAATAATGTGAGATAATCAAAACGAGATGAGAAATAAATGGGTTCAATCGGAAGGTTTTTCTAATTCAGTTATTGAATAAGTGTAGTAAACAATATAGGTTACGTGCTTGTAAGAAATTTTTATAAAAAACCGCATATTAAGTATGATATGGTCTCGTACACTTTCGATTAATAATTCATCGGACATGTTTAATGTAAAATCGCTTCACTAAAAACAGTCGCTCGGCGTATACTATTCGTCCCCCTCCTATGTATTCTCTGATTTCGCCTGATGGCGCGAGTACCGCCGATAGCTCGAAGCGCACCGATCGCACCGATCTAATGCGGTGCGCGGGCTTACATTTATTTTAACGTAAACTGAAAATTACGTGCCGCTCGCTCGCGCCGATATCCCTTCAGTGCGCGCGGAGCTTAAAACTACTGAGTAAAAAAATACATAGTTAAAAAAACAAAAAAAGTACATTTACATAAAATATACATACCTAGTAAAAAAGGTCTCTTGGTAAAAATCGCTACGAGCGATTCCAAAGAATTCAATCGAAGATATTCAGATTGAAAATAGTCAATACATGCCATTATTGACTAAAAATAAACATGTTGAGTAGATCGTTATTTGACTGAAATTATAAATTTGGGAACATTTTATTTTTTTAAATTAATCATAGATTTTTCTTCAAAAAAATGATGATAAAACAGTTTCTGTTGAACCTTTGGCACAAAAACATTTCAAATTTGTCATTCCAGTCTAATAACTATTTAGTCAACATGTTTAATTTATGTCAATGATGACAGGTATTGATAATGTAGATTTCTAATATCTCGAGAACCATTACTTGTAACAATTTTTACCCAGAGACCTTTTTTACATGAAAAACATCGTAAATGTATATTTTTTTACTCAGTAGTTTCATACAGGAACGGACGAAGAGTTAATAGTCTTCAAACCAGTTTTGTAGAAGTTTTGTTTTTGTTTCAAAAGATTTGTAGATGGCGACCTCTATAAGTAGGAGTCATATTAACATCAAAATCAAATTTCTTATGTCTAAAAACTCCCAGACATCAATTTTCATCTAAATATTGACGTTACTTCAGAAATTATTTGGAAAAACTCGAAATAAAAATGAAACTTCTACACCCGATACTTCTATCTCCGAAACTAAACGACTTTTATTTGTAGAATATGCTACCGAAGTTTCCGGAATACAGTTCGGATCACTCTGTATACATAGTATTATAAGGTAGCTATGGTTACCTAAGTTTAGTAACCAATTTATTGTTTGTTCAGGTTAATTTTGTTTTGAATGAAACAATACATTTTTATTACAAATTTATTAAAATACAAAAATCATAAATATATATAGTGAACCCGCTTCGAATGATATGTGCAATCTGGTCTTAAAATTTCCGATATACCTACATTTGCAAAAACATCTATGACAAGAAATTGTATGAAGAAAAAATACATTTTTAAAAACGTCATCATCTAAATAGGAAGGTTTCATTTCTTATCCAAATTTTATTTATATTTTTTGAAATACACACATAATATATAACACATATAAGTACATAACAACGTAAAATCTTTTTCTGCTGTAATAAATTCATTATAACACAATCTTAAATATATAACTTAAACCTGCTTAAACTTAATAAACTCCGTCATATTATTTAACTAGTGTAAAGTCATGTTTGGTATAACCATAGGGTATAACTGTAAATAATTGTATGGAAATATCTAGGTAACTTCTATCTAATAAATATGCTTAGTCTTTGGCCTATGCTTCAACTACGTTATTTTATCATCTATAATAAATAATGATATATATTTACAATTAAAATAATAAATGTTATATTTGTTTTACTTTTACATTTATACTTAAGGACTAGTAAACTCTATATTATACAGGGTGGTCCGAACTGTATTCCGGAAACTTCGGCATTTCGCAGATGAAAATAAGTAAAAAAGTTCGTATTAATGTATCTCCTAAAATGCTTAGTTTCAGAGATATAGGGTGTAGAAGTTTCATTTTTATTTCGATCTTTTCCAAATAGTTTCTGAAGTCACGTCAATATTTGGATGAAAATTTGATTTTGATATGTTTGTTCCAACCGGACGAGAGAACCGTCCTATAACGGTAATTTCCTATCAGTCAATTCATTTGTTAATCTTGACAAACGATCAAACTTTTCAAACAATAAGTGGGCGACTAGAAACTACCGTCCCAGGATCGGTTCTCGGTCCGGTTGGAACGAACCTAATATATTAATATGACTCCTATTTGTAGGGGTCGCCACCTACATATGTTTTAACTGTTTTGAAGAGTAATAACTTTTCATCCGTACCTGTATAAAAGTGAAAAGAGTGAAAAAATATACATTTCCGCAACTTTTTACGTAATAAATGTCTCTTGGTAAAAATCGCTATCAGCAACCGTTTTCAAGATATTTGAAATGGAAATAGTCACTACATGTCATTATTGACAAAAAAAATAAACACATTGAGTAGATAGAAGAATATAACAATATTTTTTTAAATTAATCATAAATTTTCTGCGAAAAAATGATGATGAAACAGTTTCTGTTTCAAATTTATTATTTCAGTCTAATAACTATTTAATCAACATATGTTTAATTATTATTTATGTCAGTGATGACAGGTATTGATAATTTCGATTCCCAATAATCTCGAGAACCATTACTCGTAGCGATTTTTACCAAGAGGTCTTTTTTTACGTAAAAGAAACGTCGCAAACGTATATTTTTTTACTCAGTAGTTTTATACAGATACGGACGAAAAGTTATTACTCTTCAAACCAGTTAAAAATATGTAGGTAGCGCCCTCTATAAGTAGGAGTCATATTGACATCAAAATGAAATTTCTCATCTCAAAAAAACTCCCAGACAACAATTTTCATCCAAATATTGACGTTACTTCAGAAATTATTTGGAAAAAATCGAAATAAAACTGAAACTTTTACACCCTGTATCTTCGAAACTCAACATTTTAGGACATACGGACCTTTTTTATTAATTTTTATCTGCAGAATATGCTGCCGAAGTTTCCGGAATACAGTTCGGACCACCCTGTATAGATCACATATTTTATTCGTTTATGAAATTAAGTTAATATTTAAACAAAAAATATTTTATAATGTAGTTTTGTTTACTTTTTTCCCCAACTACCTGCTAACATTATTTGGTAATTTTAATTGTAGAAGTAGGTAATCTAAAGGGCCGGCTACACGAACAGGCTTTACCGAAGACTTACTTGCGCAAACTGGTTGCGCAAACTGGTGTGTGTGGACGGGAAAACTGTATCCCGTGCAAACCGAAAAGCGCGGCATGTGCTTTCGTCGTCTTGCTGAAAGTTTTGGTTTGCGCAAACCAGTTTGTGCGGTATAATTTGTGCGTGTGGACGGGGATGACAGCCTTCGGTTTTGTAAACACGCCGAAATAACCTAAAATATAGTAGTATTTTGTCGAGTATTTTGTGATAGTAGTGAAAATAAAATAAAAGAAAAGTGATAATGAGCGATGTACGGAGTTATCCAAAGACGTTTATAACAGAATTTATACATTTCTGCTCGTAACTCGTTAATTAGGTTGACATGCGAATAAATCCTCCTTTTCAAAAACTATTTTTTACTCCACTTCGATCTATATTGTTTTCTTTTAGATTTCTTCAGTAGCAAACAGTAGAAGAATGCACTTAAAATAAAAAATTCGTCGTTTAGTATTGCTGCGAATTCTCAAACAAAATTTATCGACGATTACCACACCATAACCACACCGTGGTTTGCGCAAATCGAAAACATGCTTGCAACGTGTAGCCACCTAACGGCATTCCGTCTTAACTGCGCAAACTATACCGTGCAGTCAAGTCGCTGTCGTGTAGCCGCCGCTTAAAACACAATTTGTACATGTAATTATTAAACTTTTTCAAAATATAAAATATCTCGTCTGACAATAACTTTGCTTGTATCGCAATCGAAAGTATGTACGATGAAGTATCAAATATAATATATTTTAATTTGAATATAACTAAAAATTAATAGTTTTATGATAAAACTACAAATTAATAGGTTCATTTTTAGTCCAAGGAAATAGGCGTTCAAATACGAAGTTTTGTTAAAAACTTGAATTTTTGATATGTTATTTTGAAAAATCGAAAACCTAACCTACAACCTAAACCCCGAGAAGGGGTGAAATAAAAAAAAATCCAAATTTCCGAGAAACGGTAAGAACTAGAAAAGTAGAAATTAAAAAAATAAGTTGCTCAAAAATTCATATATTTAACATTTTTATTCATTTTGCTTGGAATTATTTTTTTTATTTAATTTAAAAAAAAACTTTCAAAATCCGTTTTTAGATCTTTCTAAGTAACTCATCAAAAAATCAAGTTTTTACCAAAACTTCCTATTTGAAAGCGTATTTTCTTGGACTATTTTATGCTGATTCTTTTAATAGTTTATGTACCATTAAATTATCATAGCGACAATAATTGTTTGTAGGGAAATATTTGCTTTATAAGCTCTTTTGAAAATGACTGGTCCAGAAAATATTTATAGCTATGAGAGTAATCATTGAAAATATATACAAGATGAGTGCAATCCACCATATCTTATTTTCTCTATTGGTAACTTCCACGTTGCGTAGCATCCATATGCCGACAAGAAGGCCGGCTACGGCTCCACCAAAATGTGCTACATATCCGATGGTTTGATCAAGTGTGGCTGTATATCTGGCATATAGCGCTGATCCCACATCAACACTTATCAGCATGATAATTATAATGAGATGCAAGCATGGACAAGCCATGCTATCAAAATTCTAGAAAGAAAATAGAAGGTATGAAGTGAAAAGGTTTAAGTTTAGTTGAAAAACTAGTTTTAAAAGGTGTATAGATATATTTGTTATGTTTGTTGTTTTATTAATGGAGGGATCTTTTTTTAAATTTTATCGAGATTTTGTACTGTTCGATATATTTGGAATAAAGGAAATAGGAAATACATACTGGTAAATTAGTATAGGCTTGGTGCATTTCAGTGGATTTCAAAAAATTCTGACCGCGGCGCGGCGCTCTATACGGCCTAATTTTCGCTATGTACTTTACGCCGCGCCGCGCCGGCGCCACCGTGATCGCACTAAAATAATATTGAAATCGTGGCTTTGTCATAATATTTATTTTTACCATAAGTATATAATACATTCTTCATATACGTATATAAATCCGCATACGTATTTAAATCCGTGTATTTGTATATACTAGTTGTGTATGATATTCTACCAAGCCTATAGTAATTTTTCTATAAAGTGAAATGCACAAATTGTAATTTCATACCATTATGACAGTAGAGATATGTGCAGTAAGTAAAGCATACACCCCTCCGCTAGCACCAGCCAAAAAGCAAAACGGATCCATAACAGATGTTAAGAGTGAACCAGCAATTACACCAAGAAAATATAATATCAACACTCTCCACCATCTGTGTGCCAGTTCAAGTGGAATGCCTAGGAATATTTGAATTATGAGATTTACTGATAGATGAGTGTACCTAAAATAAGAAAAATGCCTGATTTTAGTCCCTTCTCCAGCAAGAAGCTCTTAATTTTGGCGTGGTCAATCTCTAGAGGTCATTTGGTCATCAAAATTGACATAAAACTTGTCTAAATTAACATTAATTATATAAAGATTAAAAAAGGATATAACGTTTCCAAAGAAACAAATCCACTTTCAAAAAAATATTTTTTCCCGAATTATAACTACATCATTTAAAAATATTTTTTACTCAATACAAAAGTTTAGTTAGGACTTGACCTCACCAAAATTATCACCGATTTTTATTCCCTAGGCGATTTTGTCTTCGTTTTTTTCGATCGTATGTTAGTTTATATATAGATAAATTTTATTCATATTTACAGGGTAACCCTCAGCAAATCATATTTTAAATCATAACCCATTTTTTTCAGATGGAACCATATATGGGTGGCTCATTACCATATTTGGAAACATCTTTTTTTTATGAATAATTTGGTACCACAAACTTGGTATTTTGAGTCAAATTGTCGTTACATTTGTTGTTGTGGCACTCTAGATTGAAATATAAAATACATTTTTCAAGAGAAAATGTCTAAAGTTGACATGTGATATGTCATTTTATTCAAAATGTCATTTTCTATCAAACAAACTGAAAATATACCGACGGTACCATTTATAACAAACTGCCTGTACCATTATAAACAAACTGGTTAATATAGACGGTTTTGAGACGAGATGAGTTTCTTATCCTTACCCTATATGAACAAACATATACGTTAGAAATCTCCAAAATTCATATCTTTTATTTGGGTTGTAGATAAATAAGTTTGCCATTGGACCGCTGTCTACCACAGCTGATTTCGACTTTCTATGTTCGTCAATTACAAAAAATATTATTTCCATTATGGATATAAACACCATTCCTATCGGAGGCGGCAGACAAGAGTATTCTTCTTCATAAGGTCCATCAACTTCTGATTGACCTTCTTCAACAGATCTTGGGGCCCTTCGACCGGTAGGTTTATACTTGGGTTTTTGATTTGGAAGTATAAAGTGCATATAGCTAAAAGATAAGTGCAACTGTTTCAAATATATTGGTTGATTAAGTCGATGGTAGACTAGACGTTTATGGAGAACGAGTTTTTTTTTTAATTTATCGACCTAAATAATTATTTTTAGCATTACACCATTCTTTTCTTTATTTAAAACGAATGATGCATCCGTTGATTGAAATAATTGAGAAGATACACACATGGCCAAAATTATTGCATATATCCTTTAAAAATATACGGAAAGGAATTTAAAGAATTTTTTTTTATACATAGCTTTGATAATCTGTAATAAATCTTTTTTTTGTTAAAATGGATGGTAAACAATGTTGATCGTTGAGACCCAATATTATTACAAATTCTTGCACATTTCGATTTGCGGTCTCTTGGGTTTCAGAAGAAATTTGCCCATTGTTTTAGCCTTAAAATGCCTAGGAACATTATTTCACAGTTTAATAGTGTCAGAATAGTAACACTGTCTCAACAGGGCTACCAAGTTGCAAGTTGCAATAGCTGAAATTGTAGGAGTTAATCAAAGCGATGTTTCACGAATATTAAAAAAAATCAGGGAGACAAACGAAGTTACAGACTGGCCTGGAAGAGGTAGAAAGAGAGTTACTACTGCTGTGCAAGACCGTCAAATATCCTTAATTACACGACGCAATCCCCTGCTTTCTAGTACTGCTATTAAAAATGGGGTTGCTCGCCTTGAAGGAGTAAATGTTTCAAGAAAGACCATAGCAAGAAGACTCCATGACAGAGGATTAAGGAGGCCTCTACGTATTCCGAAGCTTAATTTACAGTACAAAATTACGCGACTACAATGGGCTGAGGAGATAAAAGCAAATGGACCTAATTGGAATTTCGTCATGTTTAGTGATGAAAGGAGATCTGGAAGACGAGCACGCTTGAATCCCCGTGTCCCGTTTCAAGGGGGAAACATTATGGTATGGGCAGGTATAATACACGGAGTTCGAACTCCTCTTGTTTTTATTGATGGCACAATGACAGGTGCCTCATATCTTAAAGACGTTTTAGAACCTATTGTGCGTCCATTTCGAGGGGCAGTGGGGGATGACTTTGTTTACATGGACGATAATGCTCCTCCCTATCGCACTTTAGCGGTTCGCGAGTTTTGTGAGGAAGAGGGAATAAGAAAACTGTGGTGGCCAAGCCATTCCTCAACATCTTCTGCATAACTTAATTGACAGCATACCGCGTCGTCTCACAGCTTGCATTGATGCTCGAGAAGGCAATACAGACTATTAGTTGTGAGAGATAACTAAAATTGTTTTCAATATTTTCTGTTTAAAATGAAATTTGTTTTTGTTGATTTTCACTCATTATGAAATAAAATTGTAATAACACCCTAGTTGCACTTAGATTTTTAATTTTATATCGTGTAGTAGGTAAGCCAATATGTCCAAAAATATAGAAAGAATCATATTAGGCCCAAAATAAAATAAAAATATCGTTGTATGCAATAATTTTGGCTATGTGTGTATGCAATCTAATGAGCAAATCGTGACAAGGTTGATTGATTGTAGTCTGTGCTCTATTAATTACGTTGTTCTCTATTAATGTACTGTACCCAAAATCCGTAAATCTACAGATTAATCCGTAGTTCTGGCAGCACTGTCTCCGACAACCACCCACTCTGTCGCTGCGCTGTAAACGACTATCAGCCCGCAGATTAAATATCGGACATGTAACAGTAACGCCAGCTACATCTCAGACATGTTTTGTACCACGCAATCGCGCATAAGGTTGCGCATGTTCTTATTTCTTCAACGATGCATCATTGTTATGGAATGAAACCCCGTATATTATCACATTTTTCGAAACTACTTTTATTTCTCACAATTTATCAGTAGAGATGCACAAATGCACTTGCATTAAGAAAGACAAAATATTAATCTCCATAAACATCTAATCAATTTTTTATATTTTATTGTGCAAAATATAAATATAACCATATTCAAACAATAATTACTTGTTGACATATTTCCCGAAGACTTGTGAAAATTTCCGGTCAGTCACTAGGTCGATAAACTCATCCAAAGTAATTTTCTTGTCCTTGTTCTTGTCGCCATATTTAAATAATTTCTTAATAATCTTCTCTGAAATTTCATCGTTTTGCCGAAGCATTTCTATAAATTCTCGTATCTCAATACCACCGCTTCCATCTAGATCATACTGAAACCAAAGGAGCAAAAATCAAACGAACGTATATAAATATACAGGGTGTCCCGGACTAGGTATTAAGGTACATTCAGGCTGAGAGCGTCGCGTCGTGTTTGCGTCGCGTCCGCGTGTCGAAATGGAATCAATTCTTCTTCTTCTTGCAGTGCCATACTCTATACAGAGCGTCGGCTACCTCTCGCATGTACTTGATGTGTGTCATCAGTGTTTCACAAGTACACGGGACCTACAGTTTATCGCCGAATCCGAACGGCACTATTTGAGAGGCTGTACAAGGCAAATATACTCAAGGTGGTTTGCCATTGCCTTCCTTGAGGTGGCGGCTCGCTGGTCGCTCTATTTAGATAAATATTTTTTTTTATTTAAATAAATAAAGCGACCGTACTGGCTGAGGATCGAACCCAGTACCATCCCATTTCTCGCACCGCAGATCGACACACTAACTGCTTGCACCACGGCCGGCCACCATCAATTGGAATCAATTCACTTAACTTAAATTAGACCGTTCAGGCAGACAGCGTCGCGTTTGGCGTTGCGCTAGCGTCCGCTGAGCGTCGGGGTTCGAGTTCAATGGGGCGGACGCGACGCAAACGCGACGTGACGCTCGACGCTGTCAGCCTGAATGTACCTTTATAGTTACTGAACTCAAAAGAAATCTAAGGAAAGTATTTAATTATTTTTGGTCACTTCCTGTTTCACCGGAAATGACTACTACTTTTGATTTTTAAATGGCACCCTCCGCATTTTTTTACTTTATTCGATAGAAAATGACATTCTGAATAGAATGACAACTTCTACAATATGTCAATTTTTGACATTCTCGCTTAATAAAAAATCGTATTTTAAAATTCAATCTAGAGTACCATGGCTATGTTAAAAATACTAATTCTTAATCAAGGAGCCTTGGGCAAACAGATTTGATCGTATGTATCGTATAATGTTTTTACTGTCTTGTCCTAGCCAGTTAGAAAATGCTCAAATGGTATTTTTAATCATATCTCATTTTTTTCAAATGGAACGAGGGTGGCTCATTAGCATATTTGGAAAAAGCATTTTTTACGAATAATTTGATACCACACACGGTATTTCGAGTCAAATTTTCGTTACGAATCGCAAGTTATAATTTCAAATAAACCATATGCAAAAATGTCAAAAGTTGACATATGATATGTCATTCTATTCAGAGTGTTATTTTCTATCGAATAAAGTAAAAAAATACTGAGGGTGCCATTTAAAAATAAAAAGTTGTAGTCATTTCCGGTGAAACAGGAAGTGACCAAAAACAATTGAATACGTCAATCAATCCTAATTTATGTCATATACTAACATACCAAATCTCGTTTTTTTAACTGAAAAAATAAAAAAGTTATAGGGGTGAGCCACTTTTGAGACGTACCCGGTATAAACAAAAGGCGGGGAACCACTGACATTTTATTTATATTATCTACCGGTAAGGTTCTTCATTATCGGTATGTATATCGATCCTTTACAAGATTGTTTATACTGGAATTATGGTAAAGTTTTGGTAATGTACCATAAAAAAAATCAGTGTAACCAAAAATTAAAATAAAATTGATTAACGTAGGTTACAAAGCAAAAGTTAGATGACACATGTAAATGGTATTTAACAGATAAAAACTGATTTTCTCGCAATTGTTAAGAAAAACACTTAATTATTAACTATGTTAAAATTAAATTAAAATATGATTTTTGAAAGCAATTATTGTACCTGCTCTAAACATCTTCTATAGTATTCTCTATCTCTATATCTTTCATTATGTCCAGTTGCCATTATAAATTCACAATAAACTAATTTTAACTAAGTTTTTAATCATGTAGGTAGCGGCAACGTAATCTACAAACTAAGGTACACATGCGATATTGTTTAAACATTTCAATTTGTTATCTTATCTATTTATCTAGTGTCGATTAGCGAAACAAAAATTCTAAAATTCACAATCTGATAATCAGTTAATTGATTAGAATCATTTTATTGCATTGAGCATAGAGCATTAGAGCAGAAATCACTAGTTTTTTAATTTCATTTGAATTAAATGGTATTAGATCCAAATAACACTTATAACACTTGCAACTTATAAAAATTAATTTGTTTCTTAATATATTTTGTGCTATTTTAAATGCTTTATTAAATGCCACAACATAAAAAAATATAAATAAAAAATTTTGTCAAAAAAAATGGGGTGGGCAACTTTTATCACTTAGTGATATAAAAAATAGATAACAACTTATTATAAGAACTACTGAATATACGTATAATTTCATCAAAATCGGTCCAGTCATTTTGGAGGAGTATGGTAACAAAAACTATTAAAAAAAACAATGGTAGAATGGTGAAAATTTAAGGTTGTATGTATTTTGAAATGCCATAACATAAAAAAATACAAATAAAAAATTTTGTTCAAAAAAATTGGGGTGCGCCCCCTTAGGTATCACTTGGGGGTATAAAAATAGACAACAACCTATTCTCAGACCTACTGAGTATGGTAACGAAAACTATTAAAAAAATTATATATTATTTTTTGTATTACAAATGTTAAATAATTACCTTTCTAAAAATACTTCTAAAATATCTTATGGCATCCTCGGTATATTTTATTTCCTTTGAATCTGTTTCTTCAGTAGCTGCCATTTTCTGCAGGTTACATCTTCGGTATCTTCCTTCTTGCTAATTAATAGTTAAGTGAAATATGAAATTCCATAAAAAATGCAACAATTTAGTTTCAAAAGGGCCTAAAGATGGGTTGTTTTGAATTCCTGAACAATTTCTGCACAATAATTGAATAGTTTTCCAACTTGTAAAGTGTTTGGATTTAAAATCAACTTCAGTGTCCTGTATTCCAGTTAGTCCAAGTATGATTTTTTTCTTTATGAAAAAATATATCGTTGTTTTTCAAAATTCACAGTATGGTCACATTTACCATTTAACTATTCTTATATTCTAATGAATATTAACGTATGAGTGTAAAACATTTAGCGCCGAACTGTTAATATCATATAATATCTTAAAACAATAGAACATTTCGTTAGAGTTTATAATAAATTAAAAGAATATTCTTTAACTAATATTTTTGGCTTTGGCTCTCATTAGCGGATAATAAACATCTACTATTAAATAAATGTGTAATAAAGTACAGGGTGGCTCGAATTCGACGCTCATCATTGGGATTTCGGAAACTTAAGAGATACAGGATCGGTTAAATGGAGGTAAAGTTGCGCAATGGGATGCTCAATAAAATGCCGTAGTATTGCATTTTTATTTTTTATTTTTTTTGCTTAAAATATTCTGGTGATGGAATTTTCTGTACGAAACGTCGGCAAATATCAAAGTGACTATATATATATATATATATATAGAGTGATGAAAGGATTTAATTAAATTGAAAAAAAATCAGGTCCGTATTTAAAAAAAATTAAGTTGATGATGGTCGCTAGAAGCCGAAACGTCAGAGTCAATATTTAATCACACAAAGTTATAGAGCAGAAAAAGTGGCCATGAAAATGTGTTTTTTATTTTAAGTTATCTTAACAAATAAAGCCAGGAAACAATAGAAAACGAAATTGAAAAATCCGTTTTTCTTTTAATATATTCGGAAGTATTCGGAATTTTTCAAAAGGTAATACGGCATTTTATTGAGCATCAAATTGCGCAACTTTGCCTCCAATACAACAACTTTGCCAACAATAGAAAACAAAATTGAAAAATCCGTTTTTCTTTTAATATATTCGGAAGTATTCGGAATTTTTCAAAAGGTAATACGGCATTTTATTGAGCATCAAATTGCGCAACTTTGCCTCCATTTAACCGATCCTGTATCTCTTACGGTTACCGAAATCCCAATGATGAGCGTCGAATTCGAGCCACCCTGTACAGATACCTAATATATTAACTAAAGACCTAGACCTTAATGGTCATAATCAGCTAATGAGAAAAATATTGAATATAACTGCTAATATAGAATTTTCATTGATTTTGTTGAAATTTCTTTTTTACACAAATTTAGTTTATACCTATTTGTGTGTGGATATATTTTTAATTTCAATGAATATTGAGGAATGCCCTGTTTTGTGAAACTAAAACTCGCTACACACATATTTCTCTTAAGGCTCCTTGGTTTATGAAATACAGGGCGAATGAATTTTAGAATGAAACATTTCGACCCCCTTCGTTTCTGTATCTATTATCTCATAACTTAGTAAATACATACACACAAATCTAAGTATTTCCAAAAAATCACTACTCAGTATAAAAATAAATTACAATCTTCTTAAGGTCAACTGGCAGTAAGCGCCATTAAAGATTAAACAAGAGTACGGACCATGTAATTGGCGTCTAGAGCGGCATCGTCGCCAAAATGCATCGATTGCCATTTCACAGCCGTCTCTGACGCCGTTTTTTTTTCGGACGGGCGGTATTGTACATGATCGAATTTAAGTATAATTTTAATGGGCAATTTAGTTTCTTCGAGACTTTATTTCAAATAAAATATTCAGTCGTTCAAATACGAAGTGAAACAATTTAATAGTTATTTCCATAGAGTTAAGTTATTTCTTATACAAAAAAACACGATAAAATGGTATTTTATCTTCGGCCGAAAAGATTAATTCACGAGCGATGAAATCACGAGTGAATTAATTTCGGGAGACGATAATGCAATTTTATCTGTTATTTTTAATTTATTGCTGATTGAATTGGAGCCAGAAATGGCTCAAAACGAAACAAGTACATTACCAACAGATATTCAGGCGGCTGAGGCGACAAACGCCATATCCAAACTACTTCCATTTAAATCCCGAATAACTTATGAAAAGGAATACAAAAATTTTCAAAAATGGAAGCAATTAAAAAACGTGTGAGAAGAAATAAAGTTTTTAACCTATCCTCGCTGTTAAAGTATCATTTAATCTACCCTTGTGGTTAAAGTACTATTTTATTTACTATTTTTGATAGATATAAGGCAATTTTAACAGTTGCTATGAAAAAAAAATTGTATACATTGTTACAATTTTTAATATTTATCTTTGTCCTAGTAATTTGGTACTTAAAAGTTAACAACGAAAACATGGCTAAAGTATAATACGTGTTTTATCGATGACTCGTTGTGTTCTGACTCATTGTTTATAACGAATTATTTCTACAAGCACTCTTATATATGTTCTGATTAATTTTAAACAATTTAGTTAATTATTTCGGCCGAGACCTCCAAATGTTAATAGACATTGGGATATCTTTGAAGTTCCTCGAAAAGATTACATCATAGTGTAATAGCATCAAAAATTGATAGTAAACGCCAACTAATTGTTAAAATCATGAAACTTAAAATTGATTTTCTAGAAATTAAAAAGAAATTTAATACTGCCAGATAACAGTAATTAAATTTCCTGATAAACTTTTAACACTGAAATGATGTAGAATTTCTTTTAATCGTTATAATAATGATAATCAGTGGCGGACTAAGCCTGTCGGGGGCCTGGGGCGGCGAACCTAAATGTGGCCCCCGGTCTGTTTAGACAATGATATACTTCTAATACACATTTTGTAAAAATTGAATGACAATGTATGTATAGTGGTTGACAAAATTCAAGTATTTATACCGGGTGTCCCAGGCTGAGCCTGCGTTAGAAGTTTCTAGAGAACTACAATATCTAGATATGAGATTTTGTGCATATCAGTTTCACAATGAAATCTAGTTATTAAAAATATTTTCAATATGGCGGCACTTTCGGAAGTACCGGAAGTTGACAGCAACTTTCTTATTTTAAATGGGTGACCCCATTTTTTATTACATACCTTTGTACATACTTACATTCTCTGTAAAATTTTATGAATTTTGATATCAAACACTCTATACCTAACGTTAACCGTTTTTGAGAAAAAAAAATATTTACAATTTTTGGAGGAAAAAAATGCCTGCCAAAAATATGTATACTTATAGCATAAACGTCAAATTTAGTGATTGCCACAGCCACTGTACCATAAAGAGAAGACACGTGGCTATCTCTATGTCAAAAATTATATCATGGAATTGAGCGATTAAAAAATTATCATAAATCATTTTTTTTTAAATGGAAATCCACTTTTTTATTTCACTCGTGAAAAGGCTTTCGTTACTTTCGTTTTTAAAATTTGTTACTTTTTGACTATACATGTTCCTGTACAAGGTGGGTCAAATTGGACGCGTTTAAAGGGAAACACCCTTTTCTATAGGAGATAGACGAAAACTAATATCGGTGTCTGGAGCTCAATTTCCATCAAAAACATGATGGTGAAAACCGCACATCGATATCTGTTACCGTTTCGGAGTTACGGGGTGTTTTTCAAAAATATGCATTTTTAGCAAATCGCTGTAACTTTTTTGGTATGGAAAATTTTGTATATCTATGAAAATATTTCCAAAGGACCTTTTTACGTAGAATTTAATGGTTTAAGTATAATTTTTTTAAAATTAATAATTTAAGAGTTATCAACAGAAAAATTGACTTTTTATTTGGGACACCCTGTATATTTTTGATTAACTGAAAAGGAATTAAAATTACCTTTCCAAAAATATAGCACACTTGATATTTTGTTATAATCCCCTTCGAAATACAGAATTTTTAAAAGTTCGCTACTTTTAACTAGTAGGGTTTGGACCCCTTATTGATGATATGCCCCTAATGGAACTCAAAAACATATTTTTCCAGCAAGACGAGGCACCGCCTCAGTACGCTGAAGTTATCAGCAAATTTTTGCAGCAAATTTCAAGAATAATTTAACAGCTAACCAAGATCACAGCCGTTGGACGTCGAGGCCGCCGGACTTAGTGCCTATGGATATATTTGCGGAAGAATAAAGGTTCTTATTTTTAAATTGCCCGTATACAGACAAGAATATAGACAAGAATTAGATATAATTAGCAGTTATGAGAAGGTATCTTTCACCCCTACTGAGTTAATGAATTCCGCGAGAAATGTTCATAAACGGCCCCGTCTGTCCATAACAAAAGACGGTCGATATGTCGAACACCTGTAGCAAAATCTCATGTCTTGGTTTGCTATTTATTTTTATTGTTATTAGATATAGTTTAAATGTTTTGGGATGTTGGTTAAATATAGTTTAAATTGTTATAAAATTCTGCATCTCTCATAGCAAATATTATTTTCGTTTTAATTGATGCTCACAGCTAGATTTTTTTTTGCATTACAGTCTGCGCCGTTCAAAGCCTACTTATTTAAAGTGGGCGAAGTTTTATAAACTCGATATCTCAAAGAGGAATCTTGCAAAATATCAAGTATGCTATATTTTTGGAAAGGTAATTTTAAATTCTTTTCAATGAATTAAAAATATACAGGGTGTCCCATATAAAAAGTCAAATTTTCTGTTGATCATTCTTAAATTAATAAATTCTTAATAATAAAAAGGTATACTTAAACCATTAAATTCTATGTAAAAAGGTGCTTTGGAAATGTTTTCATAAAAATACAAAATTTTCCATAGAAAAAAAGTTACAGCGATTTGTTAGAAATGCATATTTTTGAAAAACACCCCGTAACTCCGTAACGGTAACATATCGATGTGCGGATTTCACCATCATGTGTTTGACAAAAATTGAGCTCCAGACACCGATATTAGTTTTTGTCTCTCTCCTATAGAAAAGGGTGTTTCCCTTTAAAAGCGTCCAATTTGACCCACCCTGTACCTAAAATAAATCGTTCTTAAGTTATTTTGTCTGACTGTTTGACACTTAATGTCAAAGGAAGCTAGATAAAATCAAGAAAAATATACGTTTTCAAACTAAATCTAAAATAACTTAAAAACGATTTATTCTAGGTATACGAATATGTCTAGTTAAAACGTAACGAATTGGAAAACCTTTTCACTAGTGAAATAAAAAAGTGGGTTTCCATTTCTATTTTCAAAAATATTTATGATCATTTTTTAATCGCTCAATTCCATGACAGCTACCGCCATTATTGTATGACATTTGAACAATTTAATTTTTGACACATGCCACATGCCTTTTC